CATTATGTTTTAAACAAAGAGTAGTTTAGAAAGTGGCTTTCCATTTTTTGGCTAGCATTAAATGTCCGCTGTAGAAATAAAATGAGATGCAAGTGAGTGGTGTCTGTGACGAGAGCTGGAATGAACAAAGATATGGATGCTCTTCCATCCAAAAGAGGTGAATTCTCTTAACAAAGAGTAGAAGATGCCAGTCTGTTAAGTGTGAAGAGTGATCTGTCTAGCTGTCTGTCTTTTAGATAAACAGATGACTTCATTAGCCAACACTGTCATTTCTAGCATTTCAGGGAGCTATTAAAAATCCACTTTAAAGTTTAGCAGGAGAAAAAAAAATTCTCATTATCTCTGAAAAATCCAGACATCACACAAAAACACAAGATTAACCTTACATACCCTGCCCTTATTTAAGCATGTAGCAAGATCATTATATGACACTTTCTATGTACTTACATTTTAATGAGAATTTTGGAATAATACTAGCTTAATGCAAAATGGTTTCTGTCAGGGATTTACAGCATGCATAATTTTGCGATGTTTGTGAATCTGCTACAGCAATAATGATCCTTTGCAAATCCCTGGAATTCACTTACAGACCGAAAGGAGAGGCGGCCAAACTACAAGCATTATCCTTATTACTGGGATGTGTGAAGGGTAGCTAACCAGCTGGAAAATTACCAACTTGGAAGGTTCAAGGCTCTATGTTCCGCTTTGCCATGACTGAGCGATGTGGATGAAAGGATCTTTCCCCCAAGCATTTCCAAGCACCTCATGTTTTTAATATATGATTCTGTATGTGTGCAGAATCCATAGGTATGTAAACTGGGGGTGGGGAGAGAAACCCGGAAGCGCGTGTATATCTGTGGTGCTGAGAGAATTTCAAATTTCTGCCATGCCTGGTCTACTTTTTCAATGTGAGTGGCAGGCCACAGTGTGGTATAGTGGTTAGAGTATCGGTTTAGGATCTGGAGATAAGGTTCTAATCCCCACTCAGCCATGAAGCTTTGTCCACCCAGTCTCCTTCAGCCTAACCTACCTCACAGGGCTGTTATGAATATAAAATGGGGGAGGACCATGGCAAGCAAAGCTATAAGATACAGTGGTACCTCGGGTTAAGTACTTAATTCGTTCTGGAGGTCCGTACTTAACCTGAAACTGTTCTTAACCTGAAGCACCACTTTAGCTAATGGGGCCTCCTGCTGCCGCTGCGCTGAGCTGCCGGAGCACAATTTCTGTTCTCATCCTGAAGCAAAGTACTTAACCTGAAGCACTATTTCTGGGTTAGCGGAGTCTGTAACCTGAAGCGTATGTAACCTGAAGTGTACGTAACCTGAGGTACCACTGTAATTCCAAATATGTTAGCTTGTCAAAAATTGCACATTTGCAGATACCTGTCCCAAACTCTTGGTAGTAGTTGTTGAGGCAGAAATATTTGCAGAAATAATTGGGTCTGGTGTGGGTGGTGATAATGTAAGATGAATAATGTTGCATGCAATGAATTCATGGTGAACAGAAATCTGTGCCTACTTAACACTCCTATTTGGGATGCTTTCCTGGAACTGCAAATCTCTGCTTTCTCCTTTGAGGAAATGGAAATCATGGGTATTTGTTGCATCTCTATACTTCCTATTGCTCATAATTACTTAAATTAATATATTTCCCCCATCATGATCCAGCTCAATCCCTTATCCACCAAAGTTGTGATGGTTACTATGAGGAAAGCGAAAACCCGCAAGCTGGCCAATTTGCTTGCAGGAGAAAATTCCTCCCTGGCTTTGAATACAGTGGCCAAGTAAACCATAGGAAGGTGCATATGCCAATTGTCCGCCCCCCCCCCCAAGGGGCCCCTAGCAGACTGGGTGAGTAGGTGGAAAATCCAATGATGAACAGCCAAGAAGATGGTTTGCACCAGGCCAGGGGTGAGCTGGGTACAGCCCCCAAGCCCTGCCACTGATCAGCCCTGCCTGCCCTCACCTGAGAGGCTGTTGCGGCTGGAGGTGGGTGGAGGCAGGTGACAATCTCCTCTCCTTGCAGCGCTGGAAGACAGCAGCCTCCCCGGACCCACTGTGGCTGAGCCATGTGGCAAATGTCACCCACAGGGAAGCCTGGGTGAGCGGTTATTCTCTGTTCACCTTTCGCCTTTCTGTTTCAGTTCTTTTCTTGGGCTCTTTCCTTCAGTTTCCTCTCTCTCACTTCACGCCATGGACCTCATCCTGTTCCAGCCAACCCACCTTTTCTAGACTGCTTTCCTTCTCCAGATCTGCTGCCTCTTTAGGTGCTTTCCTCTTCCTTTCCAAGGTCCTTCTACTTGCTCTGATCCTCTCTGGGATCTAATTAGCTCATCAGCGTGGTGAAAGACCTTTGACCTGCTGCATCCTTCTATAACGTTTAGGGCAGTGCAACCAATCACTGCCTGCGGCTTGACCACCAATACCACAGTATCTTAGCACAATACAATATAGATAGAAGGGGCAAAGAAAGACCCACAGCATCCATAACTGAATCCCCCCCTTCTTAAATGCTCTGATTGGAAATCTTGCCCATTGACTCATTAAATTTCACAACCATATGGCAGTGATAAAGCATAACAAATAGCCTAGAAATGAACACATACAAAAGCAGTAATTCAAATAAGGAGATAGTGCTGAAGTCATAAATTGTAATAGCAGAAAACATCAACAAAGCTGCCATGGTGAATTACCGACTTGTGTTTCCCTTTCAGTATGTTGTTGACATGCATATATATATATATATATATATATATATCCAATTTATTCTATTGAGGGTATGGGGGAAATGGGAATGCATTTTATATATGTTAAACATATTATAGTTGTGCAGGGAAACATGTACAATCCGAGTAAAAGCAGATGTTCTTGGAAACTGATTTGCTGTGCCAAGAGGAATCATTAAAAAAAGTTGCCGTATGCTAAGTTAGCAGTAATAATATGCAGAACATTTTACATTCTGTGGGATCTAACAAAAGCTGACACAGAAGAATTCAGTGGGGGTGTAGGATCAATGCATACAAAATGTATCCACATTGAAGCAATTGTTTTGAGCTGTTCTGTGTTAATGAGTCTAGCACAGAAACGACAACAGGTGTGTGTGTGTGTCAAACTAGCCCTAAATGCTTCCCATATGCCCCCCCTCCAAATGAAGGTTTTGATGCGACCGGCCCCCTTTACCTACACATCAGCAACTTTCTCTTGCAAGGCACAGTCAAAGGGCTCTTTAACTCCCTCCTGTGTTCACCGGCAGATTTCACAGAGCCTTGCCTTTATTATGTTTTTGTGACACTCACTTCAACGTATAGGCAACATGTGTAACCCACTTGCCCCTTGGGATCATCCTCTCCTGTTAAAGTCACATTTTGGTAGAACACGAGGCTGCGGCCTTCCTAAAGTCAGAAAACGTAGGTCTATAAATTCCTATGCATTTTCCTTCTTGTGGCAGTCTGCGCTGCTACAGAATTCCACAAGTTAGTTTCACTTTTGGAAGGTTGATTTCAGCAAAGCTCGGAAGTGCAATCCCAGCATTCTGAAACTGAAAGAGAATAATCTCCACAACGATGAATAGGTTTTTGATGTCACCAAAATTCATACAGCATAATCCATCTTCTCTCTGAGTGTGTGTGTGTTGCCTGAATATAGCAAGGCTGTATCACACCCTGCTTGCCTTGCAGTCTTCAGAAGATGGAAACTCTGCAGGCATATTATGAACACCTTGCTTTTAAAAATAGCCACAAAGCTAATATTGACGTACTTTCTGCTTTACAGAATAAATTCAGTTCTCAACATTCCGTCACTATCTAGTGTGATTAAGAAAGAGTTTGCAAAAGAGTTTCATCACAGCCTGATTTCTTGATACCGTGAGAAGGTCAAATCCTTCTTGCTGCCTCATAGAAGAGTCATATAGTTCTTATTTTCCTGCCAACTCAACTAGATTCAGACATTCTTCATATCTATATATCTAGCTATATCATGGGTGCCAACTTGAATAAAGTATTGGGGGCCCCAGGTAAGCCCCACCCTACATAATTGATCACAAGGCATGATGTACACACAGCATTTGAATGGCAGTGGCTATCTACTTTGGGGGCCCCTGGCCCCTCAACTATTTTAGGGGGACTGAAGTGTCTTTGGCCCCTTGGAGTGGGCTCCTATGATCTGTATCTATATGTTTTGTAACTGTGAACAGCTATCAGGATCGTGGTAGAAAATCTCCTTGGTTTCCACACTTACAAGGAAGTGCAGCCAAGGCGGTCATGGCGTTTTCAGAAAGTATGGACACCCTGAAAGGTTGCAAAATGCCGACAGATGGATAGATGAGTTGTTGAATGAAAGGACAAACCCCCTGCCCATCTCCAAAGGTAAATGCAACAATGCCCCCTGCATCCCAGCCCTGAGAATTGCAGCCAAAATTTCTCTCCTATTTGGTAATTTTTGAATGTATTTTCTTTGCTCATTAATTGATGGAAACTTGTAAAAACCCAGGAGAAGTGTTGAGCACAGAACTACCTCTATCTTTTCTTCTTCTTCTTCTTCTAGCGCAGGCTTCCTCAACCTCGGCCTCCAGACGTTTTGAGACTACAATTCCCATCATCCCTGACCACTGGTCCTGCTAGCTAGGGATCATGGGAGTTGTGGGCCAAAAACATCTGGAGGGCCGAGGGAGGGGAAGCCTGATCTTGTGCCTGTGAGCTACCTTTGAACAGCTCAAGGCTTGCAGGTGGTTCCTCAGTCACAGGGTAATGCTCCACTGCCTCTGAGAATGTAAATTAAAGTGGAAACCTGAAACCACTTACTGTGCGATAGCTGCTTAAAATGGCCCACTCAGTATTTTTGGATGACACATAAATGATTTGTTTTTTGAAGTATCTCATATGTATAATAACTAACTAAAGGGAAGAAGTGGTTGCCTGTAGACGTTGGCCACTGTGATGTCATGAACTGACACGACAATGGAGAGGAGGAAGACCAATCACCAGAGCAGCAGGACCCATCACTAGAGCCAGAAGGGCCCGGGTCTCCACAAACACAGTGGGCTCAGATATGTAGGGAACAGTGGGAGGGGTGCTCTAGGTGGCTGAGGCAGACAAGGGCCCACAGCCCAGCTCCCTAGCTGGCCAGGTGGGGCTTGCTAGCTGTGGGAGAAGGTATGTGATTCCTCAGGTGGAGTAGGCTTGGAACAGGTGAGGGTCACATGCCTCATCAAGCCCAGATTCTGCAGTATAAAAAGGCAGCAGAGCTGAGGTGCTGTGTTTGCTCAACTGCCCATGTTGATGGACCTTGACTTGGAGGCTGCTGGACCACTACGCAACTGTGCTTCATTTTTGGACTTTGAACATGGGGAATTGACCCTGGACTATAGACTTGACATACTGACTTGCCACCAGGTAGGCCAGGGGTGCAGGACATGTAATGACCCTTGGGTGTGGTTCATATGGGTGTGTGGCATACCTGACAAGTGCCTTGAAAGAAACAGCACGTGCTGGGTTTTTTTGTGGCAGATTGTGGTGGCCATTTTGGGTGCTGTGATCTCTCGCACTGCACTCTTGACACACACACACACCAAGGTGCTTTTTTGGTGGCGCACAAGATGTTGCCCTGAAAAAGAGCTTGTTTGTGGCGAGAGTGGAGTGTTGGTCACATGATTTGCCTGGGAGCACTTCCTGGAAGATGTTTTAGGTCTGAAAAAGTTGGATGGTATGGTGTGGTTGCTCCATGACATAGTCCTTAAAATTTGCAGGCCTTCTCAATTTAGCCACACAGTGTGTGAGAGAGATGGGTGTGGATGATGGGTGTGACATGTTACAATCCAGTCAGAAGGAAAGCTACCGGTAACTTCTGGTCAGCCTGTACCATTTATACAAATGAAGCAGATTGATACCATTTCTGACACTTTGCATAAGTTATTTGCTTCTGCTAATCATTCAAAAAGCTGAAGGCCTGGGCCTTGACAACTGGGAATCCCTTCATTTATTTGTTTAAGAAATGTATGCCTGCTTCCAACTATATGTCTCAATGTAGCCTATGAAAAAAATCAAATGTATAACATAGACATAATGTAAAATGTAGATTAAAGCATCAGAAAACAGAACATTAGAACATTATTTATGGCATAAAGGCAACTCCAACCATATGGGTTAGATTTTTTAAAGAATGCAATTCTCAGGAAGCTGAGTTTTTCAGCCTGCACACACCTATGTAATTCTGGCACATTCATACATAACTATGGTTACCACGCACCCTCCTGAAAGTGTTCAGCCTTAGAAATCTGCATTTGGTGACGAGGGCATGATAATAGCTAGCTCAGTGTGTAACTGGAGATTGCAGATAATGTTCCTGACTCCATGCAGTCAGAGCTACTGTCTTACAGTCAAAGTAGAAGGGAGATCTGTGGACTTGACATTCTCATCATTTATATCCATGCATTTATATGAATGTGGTGTACAGGGGGAAGGGGAGAGCAGTCACTACCCCCAAACAGAGTTTTAATTATGAGGAATGAACCATTTTAAGACACCCCTGATATCTCCCCCCAAAAGCAATATAGGGAGACTGAAAATAGGGGCAACTGGAGTGTATGCAGCAGTGAAATAATTTTTGTTTGTTTCCAGTAGGTTTCTGTCTGTTTTTAAAAATAAATTTGTTTAGGGTTTTGGTCCTGTCTGCTTATAAGACTCGGTTGCGTGGTGTTCCCTCCCCCCACCTTCTGTTAAAGCAGATTGTGTTGCTGCATAGATTTCAACACCCCTCCCCAATCCTGCTTTGCTAAAGAGCTTTTAAAAATGCTTCATTCAGTTTACAGCAGGGGGAGAAAAACACAGAAAGAAGTGAAGTGTGCGCTAAACATTATTTTATAAACTGCGAGGCATTGTCTTAGTCTGAAAGGCTCGGGTATCTTCCGAGTTGCCATGGTGAGAGAGAAAAATGGCTCAAACAAATTCCTGTGGAGAACACCTTTTTTATAAAGTGAAAATCATCGTTCAATAGGCCCCTGTGCTTAATAACTCATGAAAACATTTGTGGGCATTTTCAAAGGCTGGGGTGATGTTTTCACAATGGTTTGTCTTATTCCATTGAACTGGTTGCACAGCTGAAAAGCAGCAGCTGTAATAATTTGATTTCCTCCCTCTCTGTGTGAATGTGGGTGAGGGCACTGGACCTTGGTAAGTTTGGATCCTCATGGGGGGGGAGGGGCCATCGTTCAGTGACTGAGCGCATGTTTTGCATACCGAAAGTCCCCTATTCAACCCACAGCACTGAAAGGACTATAGGGAGCAGGCCTCATGAGAATCTTTGCCTGAGATCTTGGAAGACTCGCTGTCAGCCAGCTAGTGTAGAACACACCATTATGGGCAGCCCCAAAGTCTGACCTGCAGTAGGAAACCATGTTTGTGGCTACATAGTTATTGAAGAAACAATAGGATGTTCCAGGTTGCACAAAATTCCACACAAAACTTTGGACTCCCATATCCTGCAACCTTTAGCACAATGGGTCAGTGTGTCTGGCTGTTGACCAGTAGGTTGGTCCTTTTAGCCCACCCAGGGATGGCTGTGGGCAGGGGCTGGACTAGATGACCCATGGGGTACCTCCCAACTCTACAACACAGGTGGTGCTGTGGTCTAAACCACCGAGCCTCTTGGGCTTGCCAATCAGAAGGTTAACGGTTCAAATCCCCATGACGGGGTGAGCTCCCATTGCTCTGTCCCAGCTCCTGCCAACCTAGCAGTTTGAAAGCATGCCAGTGCAAGTAGATAAATAGGTACCACCGCAGGAAGATAAAGGGTGTTTCTGTGCGCTCTGGCTTCTGTCACGGTGTTCCGTTGTGCCAGAAGCGGTTTAGTCATGTTGGCCACATGACCCAGAAAGCTGTCTGTGGACAAACACCAGCTCCCTCGGCCTGAAAGCAAGATGAGCGCTGCAACCCCATACTCACCTTTGACTGGACTTAACCACCCCAACTCTACAATTCTATGATTCTGTGATTTCTGAGGTAAAAACAAAGACATCTTTGTGTGGAGATTCTTGAAGAATTTATGGGGTGGGGGCGGTCTGCATTCTGGTGTGAACTTGGCTTCCAGATTAATGTACAGACTTCTCTGAAGTAAAGCTCTGGAATTCTACAAAGAAACGGTTTGCAATTTCATTTGCAATTCTAGCTCCTTGGAGCAGCTGGAAAGCACAGCAAGTGGACCCATGGGGACATACATAAATCTTCTCTTTTTGCCATGTCATTTCCCTGAATGGATTTATTTATTATTTATTCTTATTTATTATTGAATGTATATCCCAACATTTTTGAATTATGGTGCTGGAGGAGACTCTTGAGAGTCCCATGGACTGCAAGAAGATCAAACCTCTCCATTCTGAAGGAAATCAGCCCTGAGTGCTCACTGGAAGGACAGATCGTGAAGCTGAGGCTCCAATACTTTGGCCACCTCATGAGAAGAGAAGACTCCCTGGAAAAGACCCTGATGTTGGGAAATATGGAGGGCACAAGGAGAAGGGGACGACAGAGGACGAGATGGCTGGACAGTGTTCTCGAAGCTACAAACATGAGTTTGACCAAACTGCAGGAGGCAGCGGAAGACAGAAGTGCCTGGTGTGCTCTGGTCCATGGGGTCACGAAGAGTCGGACACGACTAAACGACTAAACGACGACAACAACATATCCCAACATTCCTCCCAAAGGAACCCAGGGCAGCAAACGACAAGTGATAAAACAATGAAAAACATCTTTAGAACAATTCCAGTGCAGATGTAGTCCAGGGGAGATCTCAACTTAAAAGTCTTGTTGGAAGAACTCCCTCACGCTGCACGTGGTCCACTCCCCCAGGATACCGTGATGACCATCAACTTGAATGGCTTTAAATAGAGGATGAGACAAATGCATGGAGGAGAGGGCTATTAATGGCTGCTGACTATGATGACTATGCTCTACCTCCACAGTTGGAGATAGCAATGCTCCCAGGGAGGGGAGAGTGCTCTTGTGCTTTTGTTCTTTGTGCTGGTTTTCCACAGGCATCTGGTTGGCTACTGTGAGAACAGGTTGCTGGACTAGATGGGTCAGGCTATTCATATGCTCTTATGTTAAGAGGAAGGTCTTCAGTAGGCAACAGTGTTAGCAGAGATGGTGCCTCTCATGTTTAAGAGGAAGGAATCCCAAAGGGTAGGTGGCACAACCCTAAAGGCCAATTCCTGCATTGTAGGGAATGGATATCCTGATGAGATGGTATCTGCAGGAGGTCTTCGCCTACAACATGTAGTGGTTGATTAGGTTATATAAGGGGGTGAAATGATATTTCACGTATCCTGGTCCCAGGCTGTATAGGATTTTAGACACCAACGCCAGTACCTTGAACCTTGCTCACTAGCTAAGTTGGCATGTCATCATGCACTATTTCCTTCAGGGACGTTTTTTGATACATTTTCAATGTCTGTAGCTGATATTTGACTTTGGAACTATTCCCCTTAGAAGAAATGGATGAAGGAAGCCGTTGAACACTTTGTAAACTTGTACGTACTTTTGTGTACATAAAATTTTGTGTGTTTTTTTAAAAGACCACACCACATATGTGAAAATAGAATGGAACACACTTTCTGTTGGTTGCTTTAAACATCACCACAAACTGAATTAAGATTGATTTGTGCATTGTTTTGTGTCCTTGTGTTACCCTAATTCTCACATCAAAAATCTCTTCCCAAGCGTGTTACCAAACGCTAAGAGTTCTGCTAGACTTTTGCCCTGCTTGCCTATTAGTCAGTACAAAAGAAATGTTCTTCATTGGTCTCCGTGAAACGTTGTCACACTGATTATGAAAAAAGAAAAGAGGATGCTCAGCCTAGCCACAATTTGTGGGCCCCTGGGCTGACTTGCACACTACTTTTAAAATTGTTTTTTATGGAAACAGCTCCAAAGTTTCCTTAGAAGGTGGAATGGGGGCATGACATTCCAAGGACTGTTGTCAGAAAATCAGGACTGCTTCTGGTAAATCAGGACAACTGGAGCACATGCAGAGCTCAAGTGTGTTTGCTTATTCAGATGATTTGGTGAAAGCATTTGAGAATGAGAGAGTGGGATTCTGTTATCTTGGATGGTTTATCTAAGCATCATGCTTTCCTTTATAGGGTGTTAGAGCTAAGAGGGTGATAACTTCTAGATCTCCATTGATAGGCACCAGTGCCTGCAGTCATGACACTTTGATGCAGCACCATCTTGTGAACACCATCTGCTGCAATTTGATAAATTTAGAAAGGAATTTTTCTTAGCAGGCAGAACTTGGCAGAACTCTCTCCCCCTAATCCTACAGACTGAACAGCCTCTGCCTAGCTGCTTCCTAATATGATGGTACATTGGTACCTTGGTTCTCAAACTTAATCAGTTTCAGGAGTCTATTCGACTCCCGAAACCATTTGAAAACCAAGGCATGGCTTTCCAATTGGCTGCAGGAGCTTCCTGCAGTCAAGCAGAAGCCGCGTCAGACATTCGGTTTCCAAAAAAGTTAGCAAACCAGAACGCTTACTTCTGGGTTTGCGCCATTTGAGAGCCAAAATATATAAGTACCAAGGTGTTTGAGAACCAAGGTGCGACTGTACTTGGGATGGGGCAAGGTTCCAGGCATGTAGGAATTTGACATGGAATTAGGAATGTGAGGATTTTCCGTCTTACTGGTTTATGTGACATTAATTTGCTCTGCCCTGCATCCTGAATTCCATTTTAACTAAGTATCCACACTTCTTTTTGGTTCCCTGACTTCATTTGTACCTTTCCCTCTGCTCCACTACAGATGCACATGTGTAACTTGGTTAAATCACTGTAAAAACGATAAATGGTAATGCGACTGAGTGCATCCAGGTGCTTTTCTTCCTGTGGTATTTTACTGATGCGCAGCTGCACATTAGTAAAATCTGATAAGAAACAATCTTAAGACATTCATATGTTCAATCACATCAAGTCTGAGCTTTTCATCTTTATCATTGCATTAAACTGTTGCAAACTGTGTGCAGTTCTGTACAGCACTCAGTAGATATTTGTAATTATTTTTAAAAAGGTGTAATGCAGTATCTCCAGTTAATTCCATGGAAACAAGGCCAGGTACTTCAGAACTTCAGCCTGGCCAAAGAAAGAACAGTTGCAGAGAACTTGCTTCTTTCCCCCCTCCCTTCCAGAAAGAACTTTCTGCTCCAACTGCCAGTGGGACAGCAGAACCACAGAGGGAAGCACATTCTGAGCCCACTGAGTAGCCAAAGGAAGACAGGCTGTGGGGTCAACTGGAACATCTCTGTGCCTGTTGTGCTGTGACGGCAGAACTGAAGGCAAGCTGCCGCCTCTCACTTAATGAGGCTGTGCCCCCTGAGCCGCTACATCACAGAAACCAGGTGTTTCACCCCGCGAATGCCAAGCCGCCCAGATTGGATGAGAAATGACACTGCAGCCTCCTGATTGGCTGGAGGGCAAGGAGGGAAGGTGCTGGAAGGTGGAGGCCTCTTCCCACCCACCCTCCCCCCTCCCCACCAAGCCCACACACTCATCCATGGCTTCCCCTACTGCATTCCACATAGCAGGAAAGGTTTGCCTTCATGGTGAGTACCGGCACCCATTTTTTCCTAGAAAAAACCTCTGGTTCTGACTATACACAATTTTGGCTTTATGCGCAGTCCTCAGAACCTAACCCAGGTTTCCTCAACCTCGGCCCTCCAAATGTTTTTGGCCTACAACTCCCATGATCCCTAGCTAGCAGGACCAGTGGTCAGGGATGATGGGAATTGTAGTCTCAAATAAGAGTAATAATTTATTATTTATCCCCCCCCCCAATCTGGCTGAGTTTCCCCAGCCACTCTGGGCGGCTTCCAATCTAGTGTTAAAAACAATACAGCATCAGACATTAAAAACTTCCCTAAAGAGGGCTGCCTTCAGTTGTCTTTTAAAAGTAAAATAGTTGTTTATTGCTTTGACATCTGCTGGGAGGGCGTTCCACAGGGCAGGCGCCACTACCAAAAAGGCCCTCTGCCTGGTTCCCTGTAACCTCACTTCTCGCAATGAGGGAACCGCCAGAAGGCCCTCGGTGCTGGATCTCAGTGTCCGGGCTGAACAGATGGGGGTGGAGACATTCCTTCAGGTATACAGGACCAAGGCCATTTAGGGCTTTAAAGGTCAGCACCAACACTTTGAATTGTGCTCGGAAACGTACTGGGAGCCAATGCAGTTCTCTCAGGAGCGGTGTTATGTGATCCTGGCAGCCACTCTCAGTCACCAGTCTAGCTGCCGCATTCTGGATTAATCACAGTTTCCGGGTCACCTTCAAAGGTAGCCCCACGTAGAGCGCATTGCAGTAGTCCAAGCGAGAGATAACTAGATAACAAAACACCTGGAGGGCCGAGGTTGAGGAAGCCTGACCTAACCCCTGCACAAGTTGCGAATCAACTGTGTTTCTCAAGCACAGTCAACAGAACACAGGACGCATTACGTATTTTTGCAGGCAAACTCCCCCCAAACCAGGTCCTACACACCAAGGAGCTTCCAGTCTAAATCTTGACAGTGGGGAAATGATGAAGGGGAGAGGAGGAGAGACAAGAAGTGCATGACTAAGTAAATACTGTGATACATAATGAGGCCTGGGGAGTACCTGTGTGCTACGCAATAACATGTGTAAGACTCCACCACAAATGCTTCCCCTCCTCACCGTAAAGCAAAGCTGCGTTGGAAGAAGGGAATTTAGAGTGGAATAGGAGAAGCCGTATTTAAAGCTACCCCTGACCGTGGTTTCCCTGCTCCAAATTGCCCCCCTGGCTTTCCCCTGCAGAGTTCAAAACACATGTTTGTGAAAGTAAATGTGTTCATCGGGATTTGGCATAATAAAACTGATATGTCTGTAGCGGAGATGCGCCTTTTAGACCATATGGAATACTTTTATACAACTGGAGTATTTGTCAGGGTTAATTTCATTCTCTGATCATGGCTTATTAACAGACATTCATATTGCTGGCTATCATTAAACAGTAGCTTAGGGAAATTAAGAGAGTTTCCTCAGTAAGTAATTAAAAATGGGCAGACTTTTAAATATACGCTTTATGTAGGCTCTCTCTATAGGGAGAGTTTTATCCTTTCTGAAGCACCCAGTCAGAGCCCCTTAAATATTTCCTCTTCTCTATGCTCTGTTTCATCAGTTTCATTTTGCTGATACAATCACACTTTTGCTTTCCCAATTATGCATGTTATGCACCGAAGCATAATATGTGGGCAAAATCCATACAAAATGAAGCAAAAGTTCATTTGGTTTCAATGGTTAAGTATGTATTTACATTTGTTCAATAAAATCAATTGAGTTTAGGCTTACTAGGGAATAAGCACCACTGAACACGATGGGGGGGTGGGTAGAAAGCTGCCTCAGGTCTAGAGCAGCAATGCCTATGAGGAATAATGGCAGAAGTTCTCCAGACTGAACCTGAAATTTTACCACAAAGCTATAGACTTTCCACTAGAGGCTTACTTTTGAGTAAACATACTTACGATCATATTTTGCTTAAGGGGCACCACTATGCCACCCCCATAGCATAATGGTTATGCATGGCATCTTAGAAAAACACTTTGTTATAACAGAGTGAACATTAGGTACCATCAGACTCTCCAAATGCCCCCATTTTCTAGGGACAGTCCTGGATCTACAAAACCATCTCTGAATGTCCCACTTTTCATTAGGAGGTCCCTATTTTCAACAGAGAAATGTTGGATGGTATGGATGGTATGGAGTTAAGTCCCAAGCCAAGGAGATAAATAGCACTGCAACCTTAAGAAGATATCTGAAGGCAGCCATGTATAGGGAAGTTTTAAAATGTTTCATTATGGGTTTTTTTATATGGTGGAAGCTGCTCAGAGTGGCTGGGGCAACCCAGTCAAATGGGCAGGATGATGATGATGATAGAATAGGATAGGACACCCATATTTTCAATGGAGATATGTTGGAAGGTATTACCCCACTTCATATTCAGTTTATATACTCCTTCCCCATGTAGGAGGATTATCCCTGTTACTGCTGGCAAGGATTCTTCCTGTGGGATCCCAATACAGTGGTACCTCTGGTTAAGAACTTAATTTGTTCTGAAGGTCCGTTTTTAACCTGAAACTGTTCTTAACCTGAAGACCACTTTAGCTAATGGAGCCTCCCGCTGCCGCGCGCTGCCACCGCGATTTCTGTTCTCATCCTGAAGCAAAGTTCTTAACCCGAGGTACTATTTCTGGGTTAGCGGAGTCTGTAACCTGAAGTGTCTGTAACCCGAGGTACCACTGTAATAGTATCCCCATTTCAATAAATGTATTATCTTTTGCCTATCTTCTTTTACCCAATAAAGAATGACAGTTTGTACATAGCCGCTTCAGTGCCATTACCCCAATCAATGATTTTCCTAACTTGGAACTATTTTTACGTCAACATACTGTGGAACACTTGTGTATCTGTTGCACATCCCCTAGGCATTGCAAAAGGTTTTGGAATACATCATAGGATTTACTGTCAACATGGTATGTTGCCCTTAGGCCTATGGGGCTTTGCTATTCCTCTGCATGATCTGAGAGGGCAGCCTAGAATTTCTGCAAGGGCAGAAAAAAAATTCCTCCTTCTACATAGACACTTAATGGCACAGGAGCCCTTTCCTTCTTTAGTAAGGGTCATCCTAATTAATAGCAGAGTTGGGAAAACCTACTACCACAGAATAAAATTTCCCACTGGATTTTTGTAGCCAATTGTTTCATGGAATTTTGTGGATTGATTCTAGTGGAAAAGGGTTCTTGGCTACACTAGAACAACCAAAAGGCCTGTACAACACCTGGATGCTGTCATACATCATACAATCCTTGATGAATCTTGGGAAATGACTCTGCAGAGGTGATACAAAAGACTTCATATGCTGATGAATGCAACTGGGGATGCAAAGGATGGAAAGGATCCAGATTGGAGTCTGCTGTGGGCTTCTGTAAATCCAACCCTGAACCTCAACATCCACTGTTGAATTCTGATTCTCTCCTCCCTCTCTCCCTGAGTATGGAGGCAACCTGCATTAATAGCATGCAATTTGGAAGGTTTTATGTTGGATACTACACAACATGGACTAACAAATTACGGCCTCGTAGTTCAGAGTCTATAGTTTACAACTCCCACTGCAGAAGCATTTTAGTATTAAAGCTTCTTAAATGGAAAAGCAGCAAGCCCCATATTTTTTAAAACGGCAACATTGACAACTAGACAGAGTAATATGTTGGTGCCATATAGTTTTTACAAGCGGCTCACAAATACAGGAGGGAAGGTGCTGAAAACATAAACTTGGTGGTGCTGGGGAGGGAGGGATTGGAGCTTCCTTCTCCCTAAAGGTTTGTGCCACTTAAGACAAATCCCTCTTGCCTGGAGTTGGCCTGAAAGTATAAATATTTAGAAGGTATCACTCCAAAGCGAGGGTGGCTGGGATGCCTCTGGAAACTTGAGCAAAAAGCAAGTTCAGTCTTAGAGATTGGGCTGTTCTTCACCTGCAGCATATATTACAGAACCTTACTTTCCTGACTTCCTGTGAACATAACAAAACTAAAATCATCTTAAACTACTTTAATGTCAGTAATCACCACCAACCTCAATATAATCTGAGTATGTGTTACTGCAATTGCTCTTGTACATTCCTCCTTCTTACCCTGCTTCTCACCTCTTTTTTTGCCTGATTGTCAGTCCATAGAATATTGTAAACTCCTTGGGGCATATATAGATACTTTTGATTTTGCTTGCACCTAATAATAATAATAAAATTATTATTATTATTACCCCACCCATCTTACTGGGTTTCCCCTCAGAACCCATGAGTTCTGAGCCAAGCTCTGAAGTAGGAAATAAGCCATGCTGAAGGAAAATTGTGGTGGGGGGCACTTGCAAGGAAGGGTGAATCATCCCTTCACATCCTTTTCTCTACAAACACCGCCTCACCCCTGTATTCACATTATCTCAGCAAACCTGCCTGCCCGCGGACTGTCTCGCCAGAGTGGTGCATGCTCTAGTTATCTCCCGCTTGGACTACTGCAATGCGCTCTACGTGGGGGCTACCTTTGAAGGTGACTCGGAAACTACAACTAATCCAGAATGCGGCAGCTAGACTGGTGACTGGGGGCAGCCGTCGAGACCACATAACACCGGTCTTGAAAGTCCTACATTGGCTCCCAGTACGTTTCCGAGCACAATTCAAAGTGCTGGTGTTGACCTTTAAAGCCCTAAACGGCCTCGGCCCAGTATACCTGAAGGAGCGTCTCCACCCCCATCGTTCTGCCCGGACGCTGAGGTCCAGCGCTGAGGGCCTTCTGGCGGTTCCCTCATTGCGAGAAGCAAAGCTACAGGGAACCAGGCAGAGGGCCTTCTTGGTAGTGGCGCCCGCCCTATGGAATGCCCTCCCACCAGATGTCAAAGAGAAAAATAACTACCAGACTTTTAGAAGACATCTGAAGGCAGCCCTGTTTAGGGAAGCTTTTAATGTTTAATAGACTATTGTATTTTAGTGTTCTGTTGGAAGCTGCCCAGAGTGGCTGGGGAAACCCAGCCAAATGGGCGGGGTATAAATATATTATTATTATTATTATTATTTTCTTATTTTATTTTGTTTGCACCTAGTAATAATAATAATAATAATAATAATAATAATAATAATAATAATAATTTTATTATTTATACCCCACCCATCTTACTGGGTTTCCCCTCAGAACCCTTGAGTTCTGAGCCAAGCTCTGAGGTACAGTGGTACCTCAGGTTAAGTACTTAATTCGTTCCAGAGGTTAGCGGAGTCTGTAACCTGAAGTGTATGTAACCTGAAGCGTATGTAACCTGAGGTACCACCGTAGGAAATAAACCATGCTGAAGGAAAATTGTGGTGGAAGGCACTTGCAAGGAAGGGTGAAGCACCCCTTCACATCTTTCTTCTCTACAAGCACCGGCTCACCCCTGTATTCACATTATCTCAGCAAACCTCTGTTTGGAAGCCCATGTTTGCCAACACAATGTTTGCCACCCTGCAACATATTGCCCAAGATGCGGATAGCTCAGCTGGTAGAGCATGAGACTCTTAATCTCAAGGTTGTGAGTTTGAGACCCACATTGGGCAAAAGATTCCTGCATTGCTGGGGGTTGGACTAGATGACCCTCGTGGTCCCTTCCAACTCTGCAAGTCTATGATTCTATGCTGTAATAGTCAAGCTGGCCCTGGTGGGTATTGATAGCTGCTAATGCAGGTTGAGCAAACACACATTAGTTCTTGTATTGCAGTAAACTGCTTCAGTCTGATGGCAGATTTATAATAAGGAATTCCCTTTCCAATTTGCATTGTAGAACGGACTGCAAAGGCTTTGCCACTAGAAATACATGGCTATAGCCTCTATTCAGTGAAATCAGAAGTGACATGCTACAAATGGTTTCTAGCTTCAAATTACAAGTCCCCATTACTGTCATCTATGCAAATGTTTTTCGACAGCTGCTCTTAGTAAATCATAAGAGGACGTGAAATCTTCAAGACGGTTTTCATCATTTGTCTATTTTCTTTTCTTCTTTTTAAAATGTTTATAGTCATCGTGGCTTTTCTTTCCCATTTGTCTTGTTGCACTCTGTGAGCACGGTTCAACCTGGAAGGCTAAATTTATTGGTCTGGAAAATGCTCGTCAGAGAGAAATTTGTCACAGCTTAGCCTAAACATTTTGCTTGATGAGTTTTCTCGCAGAAATTGTTGTGGCTTGGTGTTTCCTTACGTTCCGTTTAGACGAGAACTGTGCGCTTAAGACAAAGCTGAAACACATGATCGACAGTCTCGCTGGATGTGCTTTTCTTATGCTGAGCCATGCCATCTCAGAATGCAGGTGGCAGCTTGTGTGTCTGGATGCTGCCCACCCCTAGGTTAGCCTTTAGCTGTGGTGGAAGAACCTATACTGCTGATCCGCCCTCCAAAACTCTGACTGGTGCTCAGGGCTGTCCCCACACATCATCACACCTTCACACCAAACATACCTCATGGATGGAGAATAGAGAGGTGTACATGAGTGTCTACTGTACAAAGTCCAAACCTGCATGTGTTGTTCTGCCCCCTTCTGCCTCCAACCCTAACCATCATTGGCATTTGGCGCATGAAAGGTTTCAGCTATTGGATTGAAGGAAATGAGGCCCTTGGGATGAACAGTGTTTGCCCCCCCCCCCCCCGCTGTTGACAATATCATAGTACAATTTGGTTACCACTATGATTGGCTTTTGTATATGTGCAGTGGTACAGCGGGTTAAGAACTTAATTCATTCCGGAGTTCTATTCTTAACCTGAAACTGTTCTTAACCTGAGATACCACTTTAGCTAATGGGGCCTCCTGCTGCTGCTGTGCCGCCACTGCACAGTTTCTGTTCTCACCCTGAAGCAAAGTTCTTAACCCGAGGTACTATTTCTGGGCTAGCTAGCGGAGTCTGTAACCTGAAGCGTCTGTAACCTGAGGTACCACTGTATCAGGGTGGGAGGGTCATTGTGTTGTCCTTAGTGTTAGGCAACAAAATGTCTTGAGATGACCCTGGGACAGGCACGCCAACTGTATAGGGCTGAGGTGTCTTTGTTTTACCCTCTCAGTATTTGTTGGCAGGGGCTGCGGACCCTCAGTGTTGAAGGGGTGGAGGAGGCTGAGCATGGAGCTGAGTGCAGCACAGGCTCCTCGTGAACATGAGAGGAGCCACCACTGGCCACTGAAGGCACACCATGCTGGGCTCCATGCTTGGTCTCCTCCTGATGATGCGTGTGCTGGGTTCATAACATCAGGCACATGACCTGACACCAGGTCCACTCAATCTGGGGTGCAATTCAGTACCTCTGCCCTGGGATCAGGTTGAAGGAGCCAGCCAAGTGCTTTCAGTAATTCCCTCTTTCTGGGCTTGCGCACCGATTATGACGCACTAATTTCATGAGAGTTGTGCTTGCACTGAGAAAATGAGGAGGAGGCAAGAAACCTCACCATCAGTTTGTTAATTAGGAGTTTGCTCAGTTCACGTCTGAGGTGGCGGCTTTGAACCTATGATAAGCTTAGCAAGTAATGTACTAAAGTTAAGTGCATTGCCATACAGGAAACCCCTTTAAGTAACTGCTTGTACCCTTGTTAACTGACAGCTCAGACTTGAGAAAGCCAGCATTGTGGCAAAAGCACCAATAATAGCACTGGGATAACCTTCTAATCCCTCTGCACACTTCTAGAAACAATGCTTTAGAAGACTCCAGCTGTCAGTCTAGGTCTGTCAACGTAAGATGCCAAGACAGAGAAGGTTAGACGTGTGGTAATTTATTTATTTTTGAGGAGGAGAGGAGGGTGAGGAATAACAGAAACCTACCAATTATTCAATGTCTTACTATAGGCTGAATTTGACATTAGCAACCAGCATCAAACTGCACGTTGCAGCTTTGGTTATTTAACCAGCCCAGCTTAACTTGGTGTGTTTAATCAGTTAATATATCCCCCCTTTTGTAAACAATTTACATCCATAGCAGCTTCCATTTAATAAAATGAAATAACACCAATCACTAAATAATTTTAAATGAATAAAAACGCCATTCAAAACTTTTGCAGTTGTAACTGCAAACTATAAGAGCAACATATAAAACCATTTCAAAGAGTGGTAAAGCCCTTAAATAAGTGAATAACCATTGTGCAATGGATCAGACCAATTAAAATTCATAAAAGTCTATTAATTACAACAGGCTTTCTCCAGAGTAGGGCCATGCAAGCACGTTGTCTAAATCCTGAATCAAATTGGGCTGATTTGTACCAAATCTGAATCACATCAAAACAGATACAATAGCTACATACCAGGCTCAGTGGACCCACCAGATACATATTAGGCTCGGTGCCGATATCTAGACCTCAAAACAATCTCTGAAAAGGTCAGCCAGATGTCTCCAAAGTGTTATTAATGACAATACCAGGGTATGGGGAGGTGGAAAGCTGGATTTCACTAATTGGGAGGTGCTGCACAGTTTGGTGGGATGTTGCTCCTGGCTGCGCTGCGTCTCCCATCAGGAGAGATGTTGTTAATCGTAAATCCAAATAAATGCAGATGTAAACTTCTCTGGTTTAATTCAAATGGGGAGGGGAGGTGGATTGACAGCTAAATTCTGCTCAAATGTGGATAAGCCTTCAAAATGAGAAATCTAGTTCTTGCGGAGGTGGTAAACCTATGTCTTGATAGTAACCACTTCAGAGAACAGGTATGGGTTCACATGATAGAATTCTCCCTCACACAAACCAAGATTCCTGAACATGGAAAAGTAGCATGTTTATTCTGCTGATGATCTCAGAAAAACATCTCTGTGGCTCTACTTTGGTTTCACTTCTTCCCATTATAACTTTTGCAGTTGATTTTTTGGCAGCGGGTTATAGGCATTTGCAGGCAATCTGCAGCTCCTCTGAACCACATAGACGGACACACAGCTGTGATTCAGCAAGCCATAGTCTTTGAATTGGAACAGTACTAGGGGACTTTTTTTTCAAAAGCCTTGCCAAGGTTTCTGTCTGCCCTGCTGTGCCAATGCTGGTTAGTGGCCTAGCTAGAACTACCTTAGGGTATCTTTTGTTTGCATGGCCGTATTTTCCATACATCCCCAACAGGAACTATGATTGCTGCTCTTTTCATCTGGCTGTCAAATGTTTGCATCCTGCAGTTACCTTGAATATCCCCTCATTATTTCCCAGCCATGCGTACAGTTCAACATTGAGCCACATATTTTTGTCTCAAATGTATGCATTGTGTTTTGTAGTTGCTCTCCCTCTTGAAAACTGATGCATATTTAGAAAAACACATTGTGTTTATAAAAATACTCAAAGCAATTGGCAATGAAAATTAAAAATTAAAAGCTAAGATCAACAATGAAATGTGCATACCATAAATATTTAAGTTAAACCACCATTACAACCAATAACTAAGGAACTTGACAGCAATAGCTGGGGAAAGCTCTTAAGAACAAAAAGTCTTCATGTGTTGTTGAGAAGAAGATAAGGAAGTAGTTTGCTGAAATGCCCTTTTTAGAACGTTGTGCAAAACTTCCTATGTACCTTTGTATTTTCTGCTGTGACAAATTGAGTTTTACTGAAACTAAGGGTAGTTTGAAACAAGACAACTTCAAACCATGGTTCATGAAGATGTTTTGCTTAAACCAAATTCAGATTCATCTAAGAAAATAAAGTGGTATTTGGGTGCTTTTGGCCTCTAAAATAAGTTTGTGGTATGCTTTTGTAGGCAAAGATCGAACCAATCCATTGTAAACTGCTTAGTAAACTATTAATAGAAGATTGGTACTTGTGTTTTTTTTGGTTGGGGGGGAGGAATGGCAAAGCAGTGGCAGGCAAAATAAAATAAAATAAATGTACGAAGATGTGGGTTTCATTTGTTTCTGGGAAAAGGAAGATGGGGAAAGGTGCATTCTGGTGAATGTGATTAAGTTTTTGCCCCCCTCTGAACTCTGTAAAATACATCACAAAAGATCTCTCTGCAGAAGTCAGTCGGTTCACTGCACGAGAACAATGCATAATGATTGCTTTTCTGCTATTATTGTTAACATCAACATTCATTTATGCACAGTGCTTTGTCAATAGAATGCTTTTCGGAATCAACTGACAAACTAGAGCTGGTCAAATTGGTGCTGCTGTTACTGGTTTGGCACATGTCTCCCTCACCACCCCCGGTGTACGTTCAATAGGGAAAGAATAGTCTCCTCTCAGGTTGCTACCTAATTTCAGCAAAAGCAAAATTCACGGGGAATTTGGGAGGTTCTGTTTTGGCAAAGCACCTGTCATTTTCATTTGAAGCTGAAACTTTCAGATCATTGAAATTGTTCCCGAGCAGTGCTATTTTTCCAGAAAAAGAGATGCCAGAATTCACCATTAACACTTTCCTTGTTCTCTTATAATGGCAATGGCGCCCACCTGAGGGGTGCCAGAGCTGAGTTCTAGCAAGTTCCAACTGGAAAAAAGCCCTGTCCCCAAAGATTTCTGCAGCTTGAGCCTCCCACCAAATTTCTCCTGTGGTGCAATTCAGTACAAAGTCAGCTCTGCTGCCCGAAGCGATGGCTTCACCTTGCCTAATGCCTGGGCTGCCCCTGCTGGAGATACACTGGATATATCAAATGATGCCTCCACCTGGTGTCAGGTATGAGTGTGGCTGCTATTATTGTGTGCTGGCCATGCATGTGGCTTTGACATGGAGGCGCTAGCTCACACATCTGATGCTTCCATGCAATTTCAGCCTGGTCTTAAAGTTGCCAATGTTGTTGTTGTTTAGTCATGTCCGACTCTTCATGACCCCATGGACCAGAGCACGCCAGGCACTCCTGTCTTCCACTGCCTCCTGCAGTTTGGTCAAACTCATGCTGGTAGCTTCGAGAACAATGTCCAGCCATCTTGTCCTCTGTCGTCCCCTTCTGCTTGTGCCCTCCATCTTTCCCAGCATCAGGGTCTTTTCCAGGGAATCTTCTCTTCTCATGTGGCCAAAGTATTGGAGCCTCAGCTTCAGGATCTGTCCTTCCAGTCTCCAACACCATAATTCAACACCATAATTCATAAGAGTCTCCTCCAACACCATAATTCAAAAGCATCAATTCTTCGGCGATCAGCCTTCTTTATGGTCCAGCTCTCACTACCATACATCACTACTGGGAAAACCAGGTTGCCAATAACCCCATGCAATTCCAGGGAAGCTACAAACCATTTGAAGTGTCCCTGTGCCAGTTTATTTACATGCTCCCACGAGTGACCTTATCATAGTCATTAGTGTTGTTTATTTTGTTATTTAGGGTTTTAACTCGATCCATCCAGGAAGTTACAAGTGGTAATAATATTTTTAAAGGAGAGGGCTGGCACTTGTGTCTGAAATGTTGGAGAGCCACTGCCAATCAGTGTAAACATGACCAAACTAGATGGCCCATTGGTCTGACTCAGTGTAAGGCAGTTTAATATGTTCCCATGGAAGGAGTGGCTTATAATAGCATTTAGGACCTTGTCTATTGAACCCAGAACTTTGCATTCTGCCTGAAACCCCAAGCAAGGTGTATTCACTTAGGAAGTCGGAATTCAGGGACTTAGTGCTGCAAAAAGTGCAGCAGCCTCCAAACCGTCTTCAAAGTTAGTCATGAATACAGTATCACAGGAAACTTATCCATGAGATTATGGATTATTTATTTAGTCATCATTTATTTATTTCATAAAATTTATATACTGCTGGATTGTAAAAAAAAAACCTTCAAAGTGGTTATGTTTGCCTGTTTCTCATTCCTGGCCACCATTGTAACCTGCAATTCCAAATGCAATGTTGCAGTAAGAGGAAAAGCTTTCTGATCCTACCTCTTTGCCAATGGTGGTTATTTCAGTTCTCCTAAAATTCATTAATTCATTAATTCACCTGGATTTGGCTTTAATTTGGTTGCCCTCATCCAGGCCCCTGCAGTTTTCAGATATGCAATCATCTTTCCATAAAAGAAAGATTAGTGCGTGTTTCGAGTGTGAGCAGCTGCTGTCTAGCACCCTTTCCTTTGGAGTAAAGGTGTTGATAACGCCAGGTGTCAAAAGACCAAGCTTCTCCTGGCTGGTTTTCAGCAGCCAGAATTGGGCCTGGGTCCAATTTGCATGTAGTCAGTTCCCAGTAGACTGACTGAGTTCACTGTTTGCTTGAACTTGTCCTCCCAGTGCTCTGTTAATAGCTGATTTCCAATAAAATATTCACAGAAAGGAAAATCCTAAGCTTGTGAAAACTGAGGAGGAATTCTAAAAAATATCTTAACAAGTATTCAGGACAAATTGTTCACATTCTTTGCTTAGCTCCATAGAATTAGTGTGGTTGCTTTGCAACTTCTCACTGGTACTGTATGATTTCAATGCTTGATAAATATGTTTTGTCTTCTGCTAATCCACCCACCATTTTGTGTGACTAGACTTCTAAATAGGTTGAAGTAAGATAACCTACATTGTTTGAATAAGAAAATGTTTTCTTACATTTGTTCTACTTAAGAGGCTTTCGTGATGTTTCTTACAGGTTCTTCAAAAGTAGAAAGGAATCAATGGGCAGATGTGATGCTTGCAGAGACAATATGTTGCAGAATATAGATGTCTTGGAGAAAGTAAGTGGAAACTGTTGAACAAAGGCTTTCCCTAATGAAGAGCTGATATCATTCACACAATTATTGCCATCACAGTTGTGCCTTAGGTGAAATTAGAAGTAAGCCTATTGGCTGCTCCTCAGGAGAAGCATCTGAGGAATTTTAGAGTTTTGATAAAATGAATGCAATTTCTGAGAGGGGTTTTGCACATCCCTGGTCAAAATGTGTTGCCGCGTACTGTCTATTCTTTAATATATTTATGAGAATCTATTTGGTTATTTACAGCTTGTGGCCAAGGTTGCCATCCATCAGCATGTAACACTAGCGCTGAGGGAAATGCGCCGGCTGCCAATATGCTACTGAGCCAAATTTAAGGTCTTACTATTATATAATTAAGTAACTTAGGGCCAGATCATCTGAGACCTCTCCTTATCCCATACATACTTGCCTGCTCACTGTGATCAACTACAGAGGCTCTTTTTGCCGTTCTGCCGGTACAGGAGGTTCATTGTAATGCTCTATCCGACTTCCAAGACCTGAAACACCTGAACTGGTTTTCAGGTTGTTGAAAGCCAAATAGAGCTATGCTTTCCATTCCAAAGAAGCATTTACACTGCTGAGCTGTATCTCATTGGGGGAGTTGAAACATCTTGTACTTATGAGGTCCCTAGCTAGATGCTGATATGTGTTGAAGGATTTCTGTTAGAGAGGCGGAGAAAGGCCTCTGGAAATTCAGTGGTCATTCGTTCATTCTGGATTGACAGTACTTGGCTTGATGGGCCATTGCCCTAGCTTTTCATATGGCCCTTCTTTATAGCCCCAGATACACTGCAGTGGCAGGGAGTTTTGTCTTGTGGATCAGGCCACTCATTTTGTATTGAACAGCACTCTGCAGTTCCAGAAAGTGGTCAGAGGCTAGAAAACTCCCTTGTCATCATCCCCCACTTTAATGTTGAGAGAACAAGACTAAGAAGTAACTCAGAATTGTCCCTTGGATGTGTTTGACCTCTGAGGCCTCTGCTTGGCTCAGCCTGCCCCAAGGTTGCTCCTATCTGTTTTGATAAGTTTTTATCTTTTGTTGAAACCCTTACTTCAGGACCAGGGACAGTTCTAGCTTCTTTATCACTGATGTCAGTGGTATTTTCAGGGACAGGCTATTCACTGACCTTGGTTTTATGTAACTGGCAGATGGAAAATCGGAAGACCTTGTTCTTTATTTTTTCTTGTTTATTTTCCTTTCCTTTTTTCCTTTCTCTTTCTTCTTCTTGCTTCTCTTTCTCTCTTCCTTTTCTTTTCTCCCCCCCCCTTTCTTTCTTCATTGATGTCCTCTACTTGGGGCCTTTATTAGGGTCCAGGGATTGTACACTCATGGGGGTGGTAGATGGTTGATGGAGGGCCTGGGGTAGAAGGCAGAGAAACATTGGTCTCCCAGGGTGGGGGGCTGGGAGGAGAGAGGAAAGATCCCAGATAAGACCTGGGAGGGACTGTTACCTTCTGTGGGTTGTAAGGGTTAAGAACAACCTTTAAAAGAGGACTCCATATTCTAGTTTTGCATTTTGTAGCTGTTTTTGTTTATTTACATCTTTTTTTCCATAATGTATCATGAATAAATAAATAAATAAATAAATAAGGGGGGGTTCATTGCCCTTGGTTGGCTTTGAGACTTTAATACAAATTGGAACCTCTATCGCTAGTTTCTGGACATTTCTTGTAGATGGGAGTTCTGCACTTTTAAATGAAAAATAGTCTCTCTAAATGTAAATTAGTTTTTTGTATTCTGTTTGTATTCTTGGTTTTATCGTTAGACAACTCTTATCTTCATTAAGGAGTTGTTTATTTTTGTGTCTTAATTAAAAAGGCATTAATATGCATATGGATATAAAAACACTTGGTGAATGATAGCAAAAGTTCTCATATTCCCCTTGGAGTATACATTATAAGCACAATTCTTTTAAATGTTTCTTAGTCGGGCATTATTTATTACCCTAAACTTCAGACAAAGGGAGAGTGCTAAGGCTGATTATCGCTTGGGTGTTCTTCAGTGCTAATTGAGTTATTTAACTCAATTGCTATCTGTCATCTTTTTAATAACTTAAAAACCAACTCCTGTAGATATTCTATTTTTTTTAACAGTCTAAACATATGGTCTTTTAAAAATCTGGCTCTTTGCTATACAAATTTTAACATAATAATTAACTAGCTGACGCACAAACACACTCTCTTAGGCTTTGCCTCATCTATTCTGTATGTGTGCCTTGCTTTTCTTTTCATCATGTCCTCCCTAAAAGAGGGCATGTGTTGTGGTGAGACCTGGAGACCAACCTCCTGTGTTGTGGGTGGGTAAGATTGGATAGCCTCAACACCCGATTGGTAGGTCCCTCGATGTTGGGTTTAATCTGGCCAATAGGGCGCAGTCCAAATGGATCAAGGGACCTATTTAAACCCATGCACGTGACCCAGAGCTTCCTCCTTTGGCTCATGCATTCGGAACACCCACCCACCTCTGCCTACTTTTAGGGCATTTTTTGCGCTTGACCTTGCTATGCCGTCGTGTGTCGTTGGGACAGGGGCACAGCAGGAATTTCCCCACTTGGCTGATTGGCTGTTGCCATTTAGGTTTCGCCTGCCGCGTAGCAAATTGTCACAACTTGTAAGGTTGCAGTTAGGCACTGGTTCATGTGATAGGGGATGGGAAAATAGTCTTGCCATCCCTATGTGAAAGATATTCCATTAAAGGAATCCAGGGACTCAACTGGTTTGGTCAACCCCCGAGAGGGGGTTGTGCCCATGTCTGAGTCCGGGGGAGCATCTGGGGGGTGAGCATAGTCTGTTCCCGGCTTTTCACCTATCCAGGTGTTCACCCTTGGCTGACCTATGCTGGTGCCCTGGGTCAGCGCTGCCTGCAAGGGTTCAGGGAGCTAGTCACACCAGAGCCTATGCAACCACTCACTTTTCTGTAATCAATAAAGTTGTGGCCTAAATTCTGCCAAAAACCAAAACAAAAATTTGAGGCAAATGTGTCTTTATTTAGCGGGGAGGTCTCTGGGTCTGAACACGCAACAGCAGGAAAAAAACTTCAAAGGATACACATTACAAGTAAATTTCCATTGTCCTTTCCCATCCCTCTCTGCTCCTTCCACCCCATTTGAATGGATCAAATCATGGTTTGGGGTGGAGATTTAACCATAGTTTCCCAATCAACAAACCCTGGAAGTTCTGCATTACAGCACATGGGGTAAGGACTGAGAAGAAGGAAGTATACTAGTGAAATCTCATCCTTGACCCAGTAAAGCATGTTTTGTTGGGCTGAGTTTCCTATGTCTTAGCTGAGCATTTATAGATATATTCCCAGTTATACCATTCCGTGAGCCAACCCATTTTATACATACCGTTTGTTAGCCGCTGTCTCTTTACTGGCTAAATGCAATATAACAATGCATCTGCCCATATTACTATTTATTGCCTTGATGGCATGTAAGACCCAGCACATAAGAGCACTCTGTGCAAAGGCTTCCAGGTGCAAATTTGATTGAATACAAATAACCTCTAAATGGGAAGAACTGTGATTAGCCTGAACTTTGATTGCTAATATATTCCAACATCACCGTTTCCTACAAAAACGATGAAGAAACTAATCAGGTTTGAATTACTTCTGCTTTACAAACAAAAAACAAAAAACCCTGTAAAAAACCAAACCCTGTTACAATTGGGAGAGTAGATGAAATATGTGTGCCACAAATCTCTTAAGCCAGAGGTTTTGCACTCAACTTAATTCATTTAAGGGTTGCTCTCTGGCAGCCTGGTTATATGAGGGCAAGCTACTCAGCATTCCAGTATATCTTCATATTCTGTGGTTCATATTATCCCATTGTTTGCTTGCTGAGCTCTATCTCCAGTAAGCTGCTGCGGTCCCAGCAATGTGGTATATATTTCTCTCTCTCAAAATAATTTTATCCAAATCAGTTTAGAAGGAGAAATATCATATGTATAATAACAGAAAATTAAAAACGAGACACAAAACAAAAAAGAAGTCCATCTGCTATGTTCTGCCCCAGATCAACTTTCCAAAACCCTTTCAAGGGCAGCCCCCTCACCCCAAATACATTGCTGTAGTTTAATAATGAGGTGGCAGAAGTATGAATGACAGCTGCCAGGTCCTAATTGCTGTGAAACATAGCACTATCACTTTGATGTCTGTTGGTGCTCTGTGGGGGCTGTTTGAACTACAGTTGTTGGCACTCATATTTTGGATGAGTGTTTGTGGTTTTTTAGTTGCAGTGTCTCCTCAGGGCATTGGGAACACTTGTTCCTGTGGAAGCTGCCCAGAGTGGCTGGGGAAATAATAAATTATTATTATTAGGTAGGATACCATGCTGTCCATAGCATGACTTTTCCCTGTCCATCTTGGGATGGCTTTCCAGATCTGCTTGAAAGTGTACCATATTTTGTAGACTCTGAATAAACTGCTTCTAGTTCGTGAGAAAATCAGGGCTTGAACTGCCCCCTCTAGGTGTCCTTGGAAGAAAGCTGGGTATGCACATAGAGAGCTATGTTGTGATAGTTCAGTTGGCAAGAGCATGAGACTCTTAATCTCAGGGCTGTGGGTTTGAGCCCCATATTGGGCAAATGATTCCTGCATTGCAGGGCGTTGGACTTAGATGACCCTTATGGTCCCTTCCAGCTCTATGATTCTATGAAATGGAGCTACCTTATTGTTGAGTTCCATCAGCACCAGCCAACATGACCAATGATCACGGATGATCAGAGCTGTAGTCCAAAAATGTGGATGGCACCAGACTAGTCTCATCTAACTGGAAATACCTGTTCAGGGTCTCAAGAAGGGGTCTTAATAGCTCTGCTGAGACCTTTTTGTTGGAGCTGGCAGGGATAGAACATGTGAGATTCTGCTTACAAAGTATCTGCTCTGTCCCTGAGCTGTGGTGCCTTGGGATGAATTGCCTTATATTTTGTGAAGCTTTTTTTCTTTTAATAGAATTTATTTATTTGTCCTATAGGCTGAAATCACCGATAGTAAAGGGCCACACTGAGACAACATAGAGCATAAATCAACAGATGATAACTCACTTATTGATTGTTGCTTTGCTGCGCAGAGTTGCTTGAATTGATTTGTTGTTCAAGTTGACTTTTCAGGACTGGCCCTATCATTAAGCAAAGTGAGGCGACTGCCTCAGGCAGTAATGCTGAGTGGCAGTAGGATATTTTCCCCGAGCCCC